AAGGAAACAAAATGTTGAAGTTGAATTGTAAGTTTTAGACTTACTCTGTCCCATTAGGGGATATAGACCTATTTAGGTGGACTACAAACTCCACCTTATTCGAGGATTAGATATTATTTGAGAATTGGAAAAATGCCTCTACCTGATTGTGGTAGGCAAAATTGCAAAGTTCAGATAATGCATCAGATAAGGCCTAACTGTTCTTTCAGGTAACTAAGAAGTAAACCTTCCAGCTTCAACCACAATTTCAATGTATGGAGAAAAACAAAATTCGGTCCCAGACCTTTCAGCCATCAAGTTGCAGGCTTATAAGCAACCGAGAACAAGCCCAAGACATCACACACTCAAAGAACCAACAGAAAAAAAAACAAATCAAAGGCAGCTTATCCCAAAGTGGCCTCCTTTTTGATTTTTCATAGGTCAGTTAAAGAGGTAAAGTAAGTTGTTTTGTTAGAGCAAAGCAACTGTGGGCCATCTGCCACGTCCACCCTAGGGAATCGAACCGTGACACTGCGAGTCCATAAACTTACCATTGACCCACAGGGGGGGATGAAATTCCAACAGACTAACAACAAGGCACAGGAAAAAGTGAATCTCTTCAAAATGTCGAGGTTTGCCTTAAAATTGCAACCTCAGAGCCCCCCCCTCCCAAAGTACCACCACAGATCTGAATATATGCCTCCATCTCACTACGAATAAGACCAATGACAGTCTCAGCTGAGAGTGACTCCCCCCAGTTGTTGTGCAATGCTAGATATCAGAGGTTGGAGAGGAGAGACCCAATTGGTCTCCGTGCCAGAAATAATAATCCAGGAATTCGTACCATAATCACCTTATCAATTGAAAGAAGGAAAACAATTTTATTATTATTATTACGAAATCAACTGGATAACACGATAATGTTCAAATTATCTCTGAATGATCATAATACTGGAAAACCTGTTAGTGATACTTTATCAAGAAAAAAAGATAAAATTATCTGAATGAGTTGCTTATATACAGTATCAGGTTTTAGGGCACATTAACGTAGGTGGAGAATATCCCCAAAGGCAATTGAGTGGGGTATAAAAGACTGAAGCAAGCGAGAAAAAAATAAGACTAATGCTTAGATGGGTAAAGAAGATACCCTGGCAGTGGTGTAACAGATTCAAGTTGCAGTGGAGATAAGTATGTTTTTGAAGAATCACCTATAACCTCCTTAAGTTTTTAATTCTCAGCCTTTTCTTTCCCTTTCATCATATTATAGTTCCTCATCTACTCTAGTTACAGGCAGAAACCTGTTACCAAAACCTGCTCATTACAATTAAATCCAGTTATTCTAGCCCTAATAATACTGTTTATAACTTCCTAAAAGACATTAATAGTTTCTGTAACCCTTGCATTTAAAAGCTTAAGCTCCTCATGAAATCCTGCTGCCTTTTCACACACTTTACATTTCCCTTTATCTATCACCTCTACTCTATCTGGGATAGATTACCAGGACTAGGACAAGCAAACAAGGCCATAACCATGACACTAGCAATCCTTCTTACAAAAGCCACATTGAAAACAGATCTGAAGAAGTGAAAATTTTCTGGGCAATAGAAACTGATAGGCCTAAGATAATAATTTTTAGGTGTTATTCTTATAGTTCAAGTTTATTACTTAAATAATAATTGAAATAGCACATAAAAAGATGAAATGACTAAGTTCCCTATACAAGAAGATAGACAAATTAACAACGTTTAGTTAACTTGGGGTTAATTCAAGTATTTACACCCTCTTAGACACAACAAAGTAACACTATTTTCAGAGCATGGCAAAATGACTGGCATTGGTTGTTGACAAGGTTTGTCATGATAGCTATAGTTACATAGCCATAAGTAATTTAGTATATCACTAGGTAAAGAAGTTGACTCGTAGTCTTGTCACCTGATGCAAAATGAAGTATAACAGTAACAAAAACTTATGACTGAAATACCAAGTGATCAAGAATGTGAGATTAGAGAGACTAGATATTGTTTGAAACTTGGCTAGAAGTATTGCAAGTTATAACTAATCAGAGAGTTTGTAACTATTGTATTAACAAAGATTTTTGTGATACTTTTTTGAAGTTCAAAAAAAAAAAGAGCCAAAATTAAAAGATTTGAAGTTGTTTCAAGATGTTAACCTTTTCCAACACTGAAAATGTATTTCTGATAGATCCTTACCTCCACTTACATAATAGCTTTCCTCAATTTGTGCTGCCTTCTATAAGCATACTTTTTGCTCGCCACTAGCATTGAGGCTCCTACTTAATATTACGTATTTATTATGTCATCAAGAAATTAATGTCGTGTTTTGGAACACTTTCAAAAATCAGGTGGTATCAGGTATTTGTCTTCCGGTCCACAGTAAAAGGAGAATACCTTATACACCACTAGAACACCCCTGCCATACTCTTGAGTGAATGGAAGTGGTCACACTTAGGAGGAAGCCTCCAGGGTTCATCACCCTAATAGCTAGGAATTGGTAAGTGGCAAGGACTTCTGTACTCCACTAAAAGATAAGGGGAATCTAATGCAGTGGGGAGTCCAGAGGAACACAACACCTTAACACTGTGGATGATCATGAAAACTCTATTTTGAAAAGCAGGCTGTTCCTGGTTTATTCAACTAGGACCAGAGGGATAGGCAAAGATTCTGACATTGCTTTACTCATGTTGGTATGATCTAGAATGGAAATTACTTGTGAAGCAATATACAGTGAGGAACCCTCAAGCAGTCTTGTGGAACCTCATCTTATCAGTGAGCACTACAATCCTTTAAAGGTTGCATGGTGGATATTTAAAGTTAAGCATACCTGGACAGGCACCACTTGCTACTGAGTAGGATCCAGATATGTAAAAATAACCACTGTGAAGGTAAGATATGTAAAAGAGAACTTGCTCATTCAAAACTGATAGGGGGGGGGTATATAGAATGGTGACAGGAGAAAAGTTGAAATCTAGAAGAAGAGATGGCCAGAAGATGAAGAAAATGTGTGACAAAAGTAAGTGGGGTAGTCCACATGCCTGTTTGCATGACTTCCTCCAATAGATGACAGAACTGAAGAGCCAAAGAGAGAATAAGGTGTCAGATTTTGAAACAGTCGATGTGAATATACATCCAATAAAGCATTAGCTAAAAAGATGAGGTGCTGCAGACATCCCTTGCAAGTAATAGGAGAAATATTTTGGAGAGATAAAGAATTCCAAAGAATAAATAGTTGGGAACATGAACTATGAAAAGGAGCAGAGTGGGCCAATGAACAATGAACCATGTGGATGGGACAGAGAAAATAATTTGGAACAGAACAAGGATAATATTGAGAGATGGAAGGAAAAAATAGGGGAAGAAGCAATGGTGTACACATCATATCTCACACGGTCACAGGCAAAAAGTAAGAAGTAGAACCTAACCGAAAGATGGACAAAGAAAAACAGGCTAAAGAGAAAAAGAATAAGGGAATGTAGAACAGTATTCAGGCAAAAAGATAAAAAAAAGCATAGAAAAGACATGAGAATAGAACACATGACGATAATAAGAAAACTCAAAAGTATTATGTAGAGCTGCCCAGTAACAAGCCGAGGTTGAAAGCAATAACCCTCATTTGAACAGCCAAGGTAAAATCTGGAAAGATGAGGGATAGAAGGAAGGGAATAGAAGAAAACATGATGCAGAGACAAACTATGGAATGTGCACCTTTGTCATGGGTGGACAAGGAGGGAGGAAGAACTAATTGAACAAGAAAGAAGAAGACTACACGTAAGGAGAGTTGGGAACATCTTGCAAGGGACCAGACAAAACCTACATGTGAAGTCGAGTAATGATATAACTGGATAGGAGCAGGAGGAGTAGGGGGGGTGACAGAGGTAGATTAGGAGTGGATAGAAGAAGGTGCAATGGAAGAAACCATGATTGGGCCAACCAGTATAAAGTTATCAGGAAGATTCAACATGGAATGTCCAGAATGAGGGAAAACACGAGGGAGGAGATGAGTAAGAGGGTAGGCATGGAGAAATAAAGTTGCACATACAGAGGGCAGCACAAATCAAGAAAAGCTATTATGTGAGAGGAGGTATCCTACTGATTTAGAAGTTCTTTGAAGTTGGGCTGTTTGTAAAAGTTCAGGCCAGGCATTTCTGAATTGGGAATACATTTTGTTTTACTTTTCAAAATTCAAATAAATACTCTGTATTGGTTTCAAGAATGCTAGTATTAATATTTCAATTATTCTGTCTTTGTATGATACAAGAAATTGTATTAATTAAAAACACACATAATTAATTACTCTTAATTAAAAAGAGAATATCTGAATTTGTATTTCCAATCAGAATGGTACCTTACATGCATGCGAGGTAAAAAGCCACGTCAGAGAACCCCCAGGGGTGAGGTACAATTGTTCCCAATTTTGATGTGTTGACAGAGGGAAGGCAACCAACTAGCAGCACCTGTTGCCACAAGAGGTTTCTGTGGCTTTTTGAATCAACTAATACAGTTGACTATCACTTTTGTTATAAAATATTCACAGCTGAAAGTCTCTCACATCTCAAACCATGGAGCCTTCAATTCACAGACTCACATGCTAACATTGAGCTATTCCTGGTTCCTAATGAATTAAGAGACTAGATGTAGATAATTAATTAACTCTCATCTCTATACTGACTATTTAAAAGTTTACTTATAAAATTTGGTTATCATCTTCAATGTAATATATATAGATTGATAATATTTCTGTCAAATGGAACTAAACACATTGTTGCATCTTGTCCAGTCAAAAAAACACTAACTTTTCAGTAACTGCTCAATCATTACTCACTGATTCACCACTTCACTTTAATTGCATTTATACCTTACCTGCCCTCTACTCATAACAATAATTTTCTAGATCGTAATAACTTCCAAATTCTAGCCAACAACTCAATTATAGAATTAAAAATATAGGTTATAACAATACCACCAAAGTAACTAGATTAAAAAAAAAGAAAAATAATAACTTACTGGAAGCCAAAACATAAATCGTCCAGCAAGAAAATATCCACTAACTGTTCCCCTATTGGATCTGCACATAGACTAGAATAAAGCAGAAAAGCAATTACAAACACAAGTCTCAATTAAAAAAAAAAAATAAATAAAAACAATGAATAGAACAGAATACATGAGGAACATCAAAACATTGTAATTGACATAATTCCAAATTTACAATGTTACTTTATTTAAGCCCAAAATTTTAGCATGAATCTTTTTACAAGAGTTCACAGTGTCACAGTCTATAGAAAATATCCGATATTTGAAATTTTGAACAGTATTTTTAGTGTGAAACATTAAGAACTCTTCAAAGAAGGTTGTATGCTGCATTGTCAGGATTAAATAAAACACTGTATACATTTTGAAGTTTGCACCCTTTCACCTAGTGCACTGGGAAATATACGTCCCAGCTGCAGTGAATAGGTTAATAGCCTTCATTTCTAGGTATGGTTTCTGCCTAAATTCTGCTCTGAATGCTGTTGAAAAGTGTTATATATTCATGTGCATTACCTTCATCTTATCCTGTATTCTTTACATTTCAATAAAAGAATTATATCCCAGTAAATATTGTCAAAAATCACATTATTAAGAGAGTTTCAGCGAAAATTTATATCAAATTAATGAAAACATGCACTGGTTACCCTTAATGTAATGGTGTGAATTTAGATTTAAAAAAAATGGGGTTTATATCTGTTAGATGGAATTCAACACATTGTTGTACCATTTTAAGAAACTAACAATTAAGCTGTTCTACAATAGAAGTTTAAAACTTTAACAATTACAATGTGTGTAAAGAGTAAGATCAAATCATAAAATAATTATACATGCTTTACATATGGTTTTGTTGTAAAGCTTGTGCTAGCACAGCCCTTTCAACTAGTTCAAAACTGCAGACTGAATCTCTGAAGTAAAACAGTTTTAAGCATAAAAGCAACCACAAAATACCTTATAATAGTAGATTTTGAGTACTTCTACTCAAAATCTACTACACTTCTATAAATTTGAGTGTTTAATAAATATGTGAACAACTCATAACTTACTTTCAATTGTATTAGTTTATTTGCAAAATATTTATGTTAAGCTAAAACTTTAAGTTGAAATTCTTTTACGAATGATTAAGTGTTGATAAAGAATTTTACAATGAATACAGCTAAGTTTCTGATTAATATGTTATTTGTATATTGAATTAACTTTTGAATATATTTTCAGTCTTCATTACATAAATTACTAAATTATCAAATGAAGTGAAGAATACTTATTCCAAATAAAATGAAACAGGCAAAACTAAACTTAGTATTTTTCATTTACTTTTTTAAAGTGAAATTTGTGATAATAAACATTAAAAAAAATACTTACAAAAAGTCCAGTAGCCAATACCATTACAAAGTACAGACACACCACAAGGATATCCCACGAATTCAGCTTCACATCAGTCATGTTTATGTACAAATGTGATCTATTTTCTTCAAAATTCAGTTTTCAGGATTATCTGAAGAAAATGTACCTCTTACCTTTTCAGTTACACAATGAAAATGATATCAATAAAAAAAATGTTATATAATTTAAGTCACCAACTAGGTTTCCTGACATAACATATAGCAGATATCCATTAACTAACAAACCTAAGCATCATTTGACATGAAGAAATAAACAGTGTCAATGTGCCAATGTTCTTAATCATGTTTTCAACTTAATTATATGAATATTATTTACTGATTTTAATATCAAAATTGAAGCATTTAGCAAACAGACTTATGTGATCTCACTGACAAAGAAATATGGCAATATTATTGCTGTTTTTCAATCTTTAAACAATTAGATTAGAGATGCACAGTTCAGTTTCTTCAGTCAACATATGAAGAGTACACAAAAAAGATATTATATTACACATAGTTTGTTTGTTGTTAAGTGCAAAGCTATACAATGGACAACAGGTATCAAAACTCAATTTCTCGGTGATAAGTCCCAAGATTTATTCCTGAGCTACTAGAAGGTGTTACATATGAACAGACATAAAAAAAATCTTACACTCCACTTTAATACATAAACTAAGATAGGTCTGAAAATATGTTGAACAAAATTTGTTTTAGATTTCAACTACTGATGTAGTTTGAAGAACTTTAAAACAGTGATTTTTAATAAGAAACTGCTAAAAATTCATAATGCACATTGAAAGCTCAAATCCATCCCAAACTTTCTAGTGTTCTTTTTATCCTAAATATTTGGTTAAGTCTGTCATACATAAATCTACAAACAGTTAAAATTCAAATTTTCATACACTGACAATATTTACTAACTTATCCTATATATGTATAGGTTGTATACTTGATAATAATACTAAGACTACAGCTTATCTATTTCCTTACTTAAACAGCATTTGTAAAACTTAAAATTTCAAATACAACAGTTTTCAGATGTAAATATATACTTAGAACTTTCCACTAACCAATAAAATTATGCAGTACTTTGTGCTATCTACAAATCTTATAAATATTAAGAGCTTTATAATTACAAACTAAGAAAGGAAAACAACAAAACTTTACAAAAAGATAAAGTTAATTACCCAACTAGTTTCAACATGCCATGCAAGTCATTTTCAAAGGTATGCTGTTTGAAAATGACACACATGGTACACTGAACCTAGTCAGGTAATTATCTTTATATTTTGTAAAGTTTTGTTTTCTTTATTTAATTTGTGATTGTAAATCTGTTAATGTTTATAACATTTCCACTAAACATTCACTTATCATGTGTGTTGTGCTGCAGCTGGATGAAGCTCCACTATCCTTGTCAAATGACTTATCTTACAATTATGTGAAGCTCTGATTACTTGACAACTTTTTGAGCTCAAGAAACTAAAACATCTTGGCACATAATCAAGCCAGGTATGACAAATCTGTCTATATGTATAAAACATGTTCTTATCTGCACGTGTCTATTTACATGGCTGACAACATGAAACAATTTTTAGGTTTTGTACATACTGCCCTTAACCAAATTTGCAAAGGGTTGATCTGGACCAACTATCTATAGATATTAAGTGTATCTGTACAAAGTGTGGCACAAGTCTGTTGTACACAAAAATCAGATGTGTTTCAAAAACATTTGTATACAAGATATGTCTGTGAATTCATGCCATCAGGCTGACTCAGACTCTTGCAAGTCAGAGTGCAAGGTGATGTTCAAGTGAAAAATACTTTTGTCCATCATACAGTTTGCATATTCCATTTACATAATTCCAAGAACTTTCAAAATCCACATATAAATTTTTTTCAGCATCCCCAAATACCACATCTGGTATTTACTCTCATCTACCACTAACTGTCCCTAAAATGATAATTTAGGGTAAAGTGAATAGGTGATAAGTCTTATATCAAATACATAATACCATGTTTAATGGCACACTGTAGCAGGTCATGGCATGTGTAACTGGACCCTCATCCATGCACAAAGGGTTAAACTGTTTATACACTTCAAATCAGTGAGAACACTTGATGATCTTGATTCAAAATGTAGATAATTTGGCTCAAGCTTGCAAGTGAACTATTTAATCAATGTCACTAGTTGAGCAAAAGGATCACATCCTTACATATTCCAGTGTGATTATTTAGCTCTAAACACAACTAAATTTATATTACTGAAAAGTTTTGTAATAGGAGGTGCCATACTTGATAATCTGGAAAAGCTTAACAGTACACAAACTAAAATTTCTTTTCAATTCTAAGGTATTTTTTTCTCTGACCAATGCCTGTGACTCCCTCTCATCACAAGTATGAGCATGTCAGAACAAACATCTGTGAGAAAAAAATGTTTTGGTATTATAATTTTTAGTTAATGTTTAAGGTAAATTTTCATTCCAAGGAAACAAAAGAACTGTGATTTTTAATTTGTGATTAATAAAGCAATGTAAGAAAATTACACTACAGAAATATTTTACGTGTGTCTGTGTAGAATAAGTTCTACACATAACACAAGAAATGTTAACTCAAAGTGCTACATTCCAAAAGCCTGATATAAATGTGCTAATCTACTGTTTCTTAATATTAGATACTTCCAAATATACTATTGGTGATCCATTTGTGTAACACCTAATCAGTAATTTTACTGTTAATCTAACAGTATGAAGTTTACTTTATCTCTAAACTTTCTATTAAAAACATGATATAATATTGCACTACTACTACTACTACCAGCAGATGTGGAACCAACTTAATCATGTATATGTTCTTACTGTAATTCAAAACTACATCAAAAATGCGAACATATCAAGCTGCATATTTTATTCTTTCTATTTTGTGAATGTCACAACAACCAAATATGAAAACATTATTTTAAGTCTCACACTGCTAAAAATAAAAAAAAATCTAACTCTCATCGTTAACGTTAAGCTTTAGATAAAATAAAACGGACATCTTACATTGCAGCGGTTTTTAGCCATAATTACTTCCTTGCAAAACACAAGAAAAAAAAAAATCAGTAAACTGAATTATGAATATGACCGGCTCTAAATTTCAAAACTAAAGTACACTACACTTACTAATAGTAATAGTTAATATAAATTAATATCAACGCAAAGGCACTAAATCCGAAAAATACAACTAAATTATTATTACTAATCATAATATTATTAGTAGTATACAAATCATATTCATTGTATATTGCTATTAATACTAGTATTAATATTATTTTTACTGTTACACATAGCTTTATTCTGACCCCACATTTAACTTTTAAGTTATAAAAACAACCATCATTTCACGCAATACTCGTTCCAACGTAACGATGGTTATTTGATACCGCTGCAACTAACGTAGAATCGAAAATACCACATCAGATGAACTTGTAGCGCTCCGACTAAAGTAACAGAAAAAAAAAAAGAGAGAGTAAAATGCTATCACAACAAAAAGTCTTGTTTCTTATTTAGCCATTATTCGTTCCAAGAAACCAAAATCGGCTTAGTATTTTTCGAGATATCGCAGGTTATGTAATACTAATAGTTCTCAGTTACCTGTATAGAAAACTGATAAAGTGCGCTGGGACTCGTACTGCAAGAAAAAAGGAAGTTCTACTGGTAAACCATACACGGGATTATTAATATCTTATTACACTTTCAATAAAAGTGTAAAATAAGCAGTAAACGTCATAAGCACGTGACTACTAATACAAACTGTACATGTTTGAGGTCTTCGACCAGCTTATTTTGAAATATTTTACACACGTTTTTCAAATTCTTTGCTTTTATAATGAAACAGTTGAATCAACTCATTTTTTTTTCTGACAATTAGATTTAATTTACTTGCAATAAGACAACTTTTGTAATTAAACTGTGTGTCATCTTCATCTTTTGTTTTACATTTGACCGTGCTCTTAAAACATCTATTACCCGTAACGATTCTTTAAACACCAGAGAGGAAAATGTGTTTTTCATAAAATGTGGTGTCACCAAGGTCGTGGACAAAGTAAAAAAAATGTGGGTCAACACAAGTTTTTTGTTCGAAAAGCGTTTGTGTCAACTGCGTTAGGGATGGAGAAATTATTGGATTTTTAATATTACAATTTCAAATGGCATGAAATTGAGTTAAATGATAATTTAAATTTAATAGTTAAATTGTACTTTGGATTTAGCAGTTAAGTAAAAGCCGATATATATTCAGTTTATGATATTTGCCAACAAGATTGATATACACAGTTTTATTTTTTAACACAAATACGTTTTAATATGCATACAACAATACAATTGAAAATAACAGTTATTACAAAAGTTTCACAAACTTAAAAGCAATATAAAGTCTTCTTTCTAGTCTGGAACTTCTTCGATATCTTATCGAGGGTTCACGATGAGCGAGTTAATTACGAGTTGATGTAGGTACGATTCACTTTATGGAAAGCTAGCTAGCTTTGTACTTCGTTATTTACCGACCACACACGTTGAGTTTTCTACGATGAATTTTTGTAGTGTTTTCGTAAAAATACTAATGACCGATGAGAATCCACTGAAGTTAAATGATTTGTAATGTTCGAACTTTGTAAAGGTTCCTGGTCAAATATCTGAAGTTTTCCGATTGATAAGCGTTATAATAATCACAGTTATAGCTTCTGAAGTTTATAGCACATTGACTATAGCAAACTAGTAATAGATACTCTCTCCTTGCGCGTCGCATTGGTTATATTTATAAGTGTGTGGAGGTTTTCTAGAAATTTCAATTTTACGTAACAATACTGGCGCTAACACAAGCGTTTACGTACATACACATCTTGTTGATTCTTACTCTCGAGAATCTTCTACAACTTTGGAGAATAGGCGGAAGTTTTGCAATACATATGTTACGTCTCCGTTTGTTAATTGATTTCCCGTAAATTCGTTTCGACGAAACTTTAGCGACACAAGTCCTTACTTAATAAAACTGGTTTATTCTTTCCGAATATAACTTTACGATACACTTAATTTCAACAATCGCGCTAAAACAAATGCTATAACAACGAACGTGCTCAACTTCAATAATACTCTCTGACTGCAGATTAATTACTCACTGTCTACACACACATTATTGTCCCGTCACGTTGTCACCCTCTTATATATACCAGATTACCCTTTATCTAGTAATCTCCCGACAATTCCCGAAGGTTCCAAGAACGAGTCACGTGACCTCGCTGACGCAACACTGCCACCTCCTTAGTATTGCTCGTCCCGAACAATAGCCACTTACAATAAACCAATAACAATTAACAATAACTTAATTAAAATGTACAGAATTACAAACACAAAATTACAATTCAACAAAGTCTCTTAATTTTATGGGATGTATATTCTTCCATACTGGTCTCTGTCTTGTTGGCTTCTGCTTCATATGGGGTTCATCTGCTTCATCAGGAAAAGTTCTATCGTCGATAACAGTCACACCAGTGGTAGTAACTTCATCAAGAGCTTCACTATTTCCCTTCTCAAAACTGAATAGAGTTTCTTCTTCGATGGTGGCTTCTTCAGGTGATACGTCTTCAGCAGCATCATTTGTTCTGTTGTCCACTTCGTCCCAACTAAAATGTCCTGGACCATGATATCGCCAAAGCCTGTTGCCATGCACCACTTTTGGCTTACCTCGCCGACCACATTTTATCTGGAAAGTCACGTCTGAGAGACGATCCACTATGTCATATGGGCCTTCCCATGAAAAAGACAACTTAGGAGACTTTCCTTTGGTCTTCCTGGGATTATACAACCATACCTTGTCTCCAGGTACAAAGCTAACATCAGTAGATCTCTTATCATAAGTTAGCTTCATCGAATCAGCAGACATTTTCAACTTTGAATGCACTTGATGGTGAATATCATCCATCTTTTCCGATAGCACTTCCACAACTACTGACACATTCTCAGGCAACTCTACATAAGGTGAGAGTCCAGTATGATTGGGACTCCTTTTAGCACTACATGTAATGCATGTTCTGCACCATTCTTCCACATCTTGCCTCATATCTATCCAGTAATATCTTTGTCGTAGG